AAGCAAATGTCTGAATCCCCAAATTGCTTTCTATTCTGCTGGCTTATTCCAGCTACAGATTCAGAAACAAATAGCAGAGGCCCAAGGTCTTACACGCTGGTGATTCTTAGCCAAGGTATCTACTGCAGCCTGTCCTATGCCTGCATTCCCAATCTTCTCTCATATGAATTCTAGGGTCATAATTTCCATAACTTCCATCTCACATGTACCCACTTTAGGCAATCTCTGTAAAACTGACCAAACAACCCTTAATAACAAGTGTACTTAGAAATAAAAATCACAGTCAAACAAATCTCCTGGCCATTTTCAAGCTTCTACAGTTTGCTTAGGGTGAGGAGTCCTTTTCAATTTCCTAGATGAGGCGGTTCAAAGAGTATAAATGAGGGGACAGATTTCTGGGCTCCCTGGTGCCCACTTCACAAATCCATCTCAACCGAGTGGAAGGCTGTCAGTATGGGCCACACTCCAGGAAATGCTCTGTCCTCTGATCTCAAACTCCAACCTTCCCCAAAGACACTTTCCAACCCTATTCCAGGCTTAAATAATTTCATCCTGTTTACTTTAGAGTATAAGTGTGTTGGGACCATTTTTTCTGGGAAAGGGGATAAAACTGAAATTATGCATGTAAGGATTCTTCCACGGAGCCAAAGTTCACTCTACCAAGCGTTTTCTCAAGCCACCTTGATTTTAAGAGATCTGCCACTCATTTTGATTAAAATGTAATCTTTTGTGGCATTTCCTTTCTTTTCTCCCTACTTTTCCCCCTCCTTTTATGTTTTAAAATTAACATGTATATTTTAAGGCTAATAAGTGCTACTAGAGAAAACTTAGAAAAACAGAGAAGAAAAATGTTAAAGAATTATCTACCCAGGCACAACCACTATTAGTTTTATTTTTTTTTAACCCACATGTATGTATATATATATATTTTTTTTTTTTATTTTTTTTACAAAACAAAGGGAGCACACTAGTTTGCGATCTCCTCTTTAGCCACTTGGCGTAAGTGCTGCCCCACTTGATCAGAAAGGTTGAGCCAGTTTCTTCTTCTAATAGCAGATAAAAGAGTGACCATATTCTCCCCTCCTTAGCATGGAGTATTATCCTTCTTTTTATTCTTTGCCAATTTAAAGGCAAATTTTTGTTTTAATGTTCATTGCCTTACCCGTGAAATTTAGACATCTGTTGTCATGTTGATCACTTCCTTTAATCTCACCTGCCTTCACATCAGGAATACATAAAGCAGCCAGCTAATTCATCTCCACTTTATGTTGCAAACTGGACGATGGATGGATGGTGAGAAGGTGGAGGGAAGAGGACTGTCAGCAGTGCTGCAGAATGAAGGTCATGTTGCTTCCTTGTCTTATACCAAACATTACAAAAGGAATACATGCTCGTTGTAAGAAAAAAAATTAAATATTTCAAAAGGGCATACAAACATTGTGGGAGCTCCCTTCTACGCTCTCCTCACTCATCAGATCCTATTCCGGCAATGTGGCCACCTTTAGCCTCCTCCTCCTCCTACCTCCTTATTATCTTCACAGGACCTGACACACTGGCCATAGGTTTGGGGGAGTGGTTAGGAGAAAGGGTTAGGGATCTGAAAGGGAATAGCTTCTTCATATAGAGCTCCCAGGGCTTGCTCCAGGGTGGTCATTGGGAAAGGAAGGAGAGACCACACCAGCTGCTTGTCTGTAATCAAATGGGCAGGTGAATAGAGTCAGGTACGATTACCCTGTCTGCACTGATTCCAGTCCATATGAAAAATGGCAGGCTGTGTATTGCAGCACATGAGCAGTGTCCTTTGTTAACTCCTGTCCCTTGAGTGTAACCTGTTTCCTTTACAAAGTGGAATAGAAAACCTAAGAAAAGGTTTGCCTTTCCAGCATGAACCCTTCTCCCCATTTGGCAGGTCCTTGTGGAGCCCTACATCCACCTTTATCCATCTTGCTTCCAGACAGTGGTTTGAAATAACATCCATTGCCTGCAGAGCCATGCCCAATTCTGACTAAAGGAATGTCAGCGAAGTCATGCTTAAAGCAGATGCCAAGACTTGGGTAGAATTTGTAGTGTGAAAGGGGACCCATTCCTTGTTATCAGAAAATCTTTTGGAGGAAAAATGATCTAATTGTTCAAATTCTCAGTGTTATGAATGAGAGAGCCCATCACTAAACTGATCTGGAAACTTCAAAAAAATTATTTTTATTCTTCTCTTTGAGAGCTGTAAATGCCTATGGAATGGGATAGGTCATTTTAGAACCAGTGAATGAGTAGCCTATTAACTAAAGGAAAAAAACCCAGACATTTCAGGTGGAAATATTTTACACTTTCTTGAGAAATTCTAACTTTCCTTCTTTTCAGTAAAAACTGATCACCTATGCCACCTTTCTTATATCATTTCCACAGAAAATCCTTTTCTTCAAAGGTCTTACTTTTCTCCCCGTTGGATTGTCTCAGGTGGCTTATAGCATTAGACAAGTTAACTTTTAGGCACACACAGCAGAGACTTAGTATCATGTGAGCTGTTCAAATAATAAAATTTTATATGAGAAAGCTTTGTCTTGGACCTAGTCCAAAAGGGATTCTTTCAAGAAGTATCCACTCTAAAATAGCAAGCTTCATTTTCTGGACTCAGAGGACAGAATTATAAAGCAAGACGCTTGGTGACGGTGGTGATGATGAGTATATGTGGGTTAAGGACAAGGGGTGCTATGTTGTATTAGTTCTCTAACCCTATGTTACAAATAACCCCAAAACTTACCTGAAAGCAACAAACATTTGTTATTTCACAGTTTCTGAGGGTCAGGAACCCAGGAGCAGTTTAACAGGGTGGTTTTGGCTCAAAGTGTCTCATGAAGTTGTCATCTTGAGGCTTGACTGGAGATGCCTCTGCTACTCACCATCAAGTCTCTCCATAGACTTTCTAAGTATCCTCACAGTATACCTTCTCCCATAGTGATCCAAGAGAACAAGTACACCCAAGACAAGGCCAGTCTTTTTATAACCTACTCTCAGAAGTGGCATGCCATCACTTCTGCCTCAATCTCCCACACTTAAGGGCTGGTAAATGAAGCTCTACTTCTTGAAGAGGGGAGTATCAAAGAATTTATGGACAAATCTTTAAAACAACCACATGTATGATACTACATCTAGTCTCTAGTCTGCTCTTTAGTCTACAGCAGAGGTCAGCTAATTTCTTCTGTAAATAGCCAGACAGTAAATAGTTTGGACATTGTGGGTCAGACTGTGTTGGCTGCAACTACTTAAACACTGCCATTGTGCTGCAAAATAGCTATTGGCAATACATAAGCAAATAAGTGTGGCTCTGTTCCAGTAAAACTTTATCTACAAAAATAAGCACAGGGCTGGTTTGGCACATGGACAGTAGTTTGATCCCTGGTCTATACCCTATAGAAGTTATTGGAAGTCTAGCATACTCAGTGATTTTGTTTCCTTGGTACCACAGTCTTGTTTCAAACAAATTCATCCAGATGTCATGGCAGTCTTGTCTGCTACCATTATACATCTCTGCAGCTTGAAATTTAGTGGTGAGACAACAGGAAGGCAGAAAGGCAAATCTGAGAAATTTAGGTGGCAAAAAACATGAGGACATAGATAGTCCTTACCTTTGGAAATGACAGTAATAGCAGAATAAAAAATGAGAGCAGGCTTGGTACAACAGGGGCGAGGCTGTCTTTAATTCCATTTAATCGCTGAGGTTGATATAAGGCAAGAAGTTTGAGAGATATTCTTTAAAGTGGTACTGTGGGTCTAGGATATAGCACTGAGATTTGCAATGAAGGCGTGACTTAAGGGATCCATCTTGATAAAGCCCCTACAGCTCCAAGAACCATGAGTTGTACAGGGGGAAACTAAGACTTGTGAGTACCAAACAAGGTGAAGGTGAAAACTGCCCAGAGAGCAGTAGGGAATATGTAGGGGGTAATGAGACTTCAGACCTACATGGGATCTCATTCTGTGGGATGGGAGGTGGGGGTGGGGGCAACCCCTCAGTTTGCAATATTCAGAAATAAATCCCAAGTGATTATTTTTAGTTAGTGTAAGGTTAAAGTATATTAACTCTTAGACTTAATTTCCCCCTCCTTCTTCCTAAGGTTGATTTTGCAAATACTGTATTAACTTGTTTTTCAGGGCCATTTATATTAAGTTTTATTATATAATATGATAAATTCGAGCAGAGATGGGGCTGACTTCATGTTCACTTCATACTTATGTTCACTTGCAATGGAATTTTAAAATTGTATAAGGTAGGTAATTTCCTGCCTGAATATTACTCTCAAGTAGATAGCTGATGTATCTATCCCACCATTAAAAAGTTATTTTACTTTTCTCAGCCAAAAACAGCTACTAGTCATTTTAAAGTTCAACTTAAAGGTCAAATCGTATCAATCTCTTTGATGAGATGTGCTTTGGAAATGAACAACACTCTGCTGGTAAATTATTTTTCCCAGTGGTTTGTTCTTGCTTTCATGCCACCATATGGCCTACTGTGATCCTATCTGGATAACTGGGCATAACATCAACCCTCTGTTTTTGTAAAGCTCTTTCCCCTCTTATTCTGAATCTCAACAAATAAAAAAGAGTAAAAAGTTAAAGATCATTACTGAAACTTTCTTTGCAAGAAAAAGGTACCTTTCTTGCAGGTGATTTCACTAAATTTCAATTAATTTCCATAAATTCTTAGTTATAAAACTATTTGGGAACAGTGTTTTCTCTATTTAATGTCATCATAGCTGGGTAGTACAAAGACTTGGAACTTTAGACACTTAGCTTCTTACCTTGCGATGGAAAGTGTGTAAATTAAATGTCAAGAGGAAACCAGGTTGCAGAAATCTGATCCAGTTAGACGCCCCACAGCTCCAGAGATGCAGGTCAGGAACTCAGATGAGAGCCAAACACTGCCATTACCCTGAGCTGAATTCATCTCTGTCAGGCAATGCGCTCATAACCCCAGTCTTTCCAAAAACATATGTGAACTATTCCAGTTTTACTAATAACTTTATTTAAATAAGACACAGGAACTTCTATACTGAAAAAATACAAAACAAAAGCCACACATTTCCTCGTGTAAAGCCATATTGTATGGTAACTCGAATACTGTTCAGCGCAGTGGCTAGAATTAAACAGTACAACTATATACAAAATTTAAACAATTTCTGACAAATTTCTACAGCTGGATGTAGGATACATTTGAGCTCAACAACTTCTGGGAAATTTACATGGCAAAGCATAAGCTTTAACACATTTGGTTCAAAACTTTTATATATGCTAAGAACAAATGTACAACACAATATTTAGTTTCTCATGAGAAAATAAAAGCACATGTCACTATAAATATCGTACATCAGATTTCATCACCAAAAAAGCATATTCAGTCCATCTTTCTGAAATTGATATTGATACTATTGCATCTTATTTGGACAAAAGCAGAGCATAAGATCAACATATTATGTAATGCTAAACCAGATATCAGAAGTTAAATGGAGCTCATATTTATCTTACGGAACTAGTAATTTTCTCCCTTTACCCATAATCTACAAAATATAGTATTTTCATCAAGGCCTGAGATTATTAGGGTTAAAGGTATCTGCTGCTGAAAAGATTGTTTTAAAAGGTTCCCCTGTGAAAATGGCAAAAGTAAACTGAGTCCTTTTTTCCATGACAGTCTCCTACAATATAACACTGACTAATTTAAAGGAGCCAAAATGCACCTTCAGGAGAGAATATTACTGCAAACTTTGGTGGAAAGAATTGGGATCATGACAAAATAATACACAGAATACACACACACAAACATATACACATATATCATTAAAAAAAAAAATCAATGGCATTGCTTTCTTCTCTATCACCACCTCATCCTTCTTCAACCTCTGTGAGAAATAAACAAAACAAAGAAAAACCCAGGAATGACTGAAGGGAACTGAAACGTTCCTTTAACTGTGGGCACCTGTTTCCCTAATTCTTAAGAAAATTGTCCCGTACACTTTAGGTGCAGATGAAAACAACTCTAGGTTTTATTGAACTGAAAGGAATGGAATAAAAATACAAAAGTTTCCCTTTACTTTTGGATACTTGCGTTGTGCTGCAGAAAACAAGGTCTGAAAGTTGGGCTCTCCCACTGCCCAGTGAGGAATATCCAGGGCTCTCTTCACACTTTGTGGAGAACTTATGTCAAGTCTGCAAGTTCAAGGCTATTTACTTGGGTTTATGTTCTACTTCACACATCCCAAATCTTAACAAAACTATTCATGATAGTATTATGAAAGGCTTAAACAAGACAGCTTCAAACTATTGCTCTTATAAGTCACCACATTCTGCGGCCCAAGTATTCTCTTCATGTGAATGCAACTCATACACTTGAACTGCTTGAGGAAAACGATAACCAAAAGTATGTCACTTTTTAACCTGAAAATTAAAGAATTTCTAAAAGAGAACTAAACATAAATATACTTTTAGATAAGACGGTAACATTTATGACCCTGATGGCCAATATAAACAAAAAATCTCAACCATCCCCTGTCAAACACTTCACTTATTTTGAAATTAAATCTAGACATTCTTATCTTTAAATTTCATCACACACAATGTGGAATGTTTATGTACAGTCTAGTACTGAACACTTCATTTGCAACATTGTAACAGTCCTTAACTTAGCAACACCTGAACTTTTAAAAAAAAGCCACAATTTACACATGTTGAAACAGTGAATGCAACAGTTGTTTTACTGGTAACCACATGACAAAGTGATGTCAAACACCACAGATTTGCTGGTTCTCCTCATGTTCACCCATGTCCAGGATTATCATTCTCCTAGGGCTGAATGCACTTCTTATTCTAATAAGAATATGGAATGTAATGAGGAAAGGGAAATGCATAAAATAAGAAAAGGCAAAAGAGTGATGTTCCCTCTTTAGCTTTTTAGCTGTGAAATATTTAATATCCCAATATGATATACATTCCAAGTTACCTGAGTTTAGACTTCAACTGAAGTACCTGAAGCTAGGCCATAGGGTGGGCACTGTGCAACTGTTGTGGCCATTTTTTTTTTTTTTTTTGCATTGTATGTATTACAGAAGTTAGAAACAAACACCTGGATCAATTGTAAACATAATCCTGAAGTACAGTATTTTCCATAGGACAAAACACAGCAAGACATTTTCTATTTAGACAGGCAACTTTTTGATATAGAGCTTATTTATACTGAAGAATTTGGAACAAAACACAGGACACAGTACTAATCTGTCAAACATACTATGAAATGCATAGTCTCCACTTAAAATGCCGAATGACACATGTTTTGCAAGCATTACTGCTTTCCACAAAAACTGCTGAATAGGAGTTCCGTCCCTGCCAAGATCAGTGTTAAGAGATACTTTATGATGCTGATAAGTATTTTGCTGTTGGTGGTTGTGTTCAGAAAGTTTGTCACTCCATGCATATAGATGTCCGAGATCACGTTCCTAATCCATGGAACACAGGGTGGAGGCCAGCTCCCCCTTTGCTTTAGATGATCACATAATTCTGAGCAGAGATGTGTTCTTCGCCCTGCAATTCTGGCAGGAGCTGCTGCTGCTGGGATGGCTGTTGAACAGAGGCCTCTGTGGAGCCCGCTGTGCTGGTGTCATCGGAAAGAGATGCAAAGGAAACCCGGGAGGAGAGCTGCTCAACAGTTAGAGCTGCCAGAGCCGAGCTCTGGCCAGAGTTAGGAGAGTTCTTGAGCATCAGGTCAGAAGCAGGTAAGAGAGGGCCTAGAAGTTTTACAGGACAGAAAGCTGATCCAGTTGGGATGAAATTAACCTTGTTTTTGTCAGGACATGAAAAGAGAGGGGCCGAGATAGGTTGACGAGACCTAAAACATAAAACAAAATTAGGTTTATAATTACTAAAAAGTTAAGTACTTTCTGAACTAACAGGAGTTCTCTAAAACAGCTAAAATGTGAATGGCAGGGGATGGGGTAGGTGTACACAGATGGGTAAACATCTTCCATAGCACAAGTCAGCTGGCAGACTATTCATGTACACAGCACTGAAGTGATATTTGAGACAAAAGGATTTTCAAAAGGATCAAGCAGACAAATTTTTATGGAGATCATTAGTTTGCTTTTAATCATTTAGGAATGTGGGAAAATCCCCTACATTATAGTTGAAGATTATGCAAGGTTAGGATGACCTTTTCTGTTAAGAAAAAGTGTACTGGGTGGGGGCATTACCCTATCATGTATGTGGTTTAGAGCATTTCCTCCTTTTTCCTGCATCTTTAGACATACTTCCACTAGCACAGATGAGGGAGTGGAGTTTCAGTGGTCTCTCCAAGAGCCAGTCAGCCCAACAGAGCAGAGTCCACAAGCCCTTCCTGGAGCTAAACCATCAAGTCTTGTAAGATGGGTGTCTGTCCCTTTCTAGGTTGCAAGAGTACAGCAGCCTCCACTAGGCACTGGGACAAAGGGATGAGTACGTCCAAGAGCCACACAGTCTTCTGAGCTATCCTGCCCAGTGTTCACAACATGCAATTTTTTTCAATTTAACTTCTAACTTATACATACTGAAATTTCAAAAAGGAAAAAAACCCTATGAACAGAAAGTCTGAATTCAATGAGTTAACATGCTAGATGTGTCATCTATAGGGAAGAAGACTAATTTCCCTCTGGCTTATGGAATGAATACACTGTCTTTAGGCTAGTCACACACAGATGTTAACTTTGCTCCTAAATGTCTTTTTGTTAACTATCTAAATTAATATAGTTCTTGAAAGGATAATTCTTAATGATTAAAAACAGACCTGTTAGGTAGTAAGGATAAATTTCTAGTTTCTTTGTATTGGCTTATACATGTCTGGCATACAAACTCCAATTCTTCTTCAATAAAATCTCTTTTGCCTATTCAATTCTCTTTACATAATTTGCTTTTAAAATATATTATCAGCTGGATAGAGTAGTTGATTCATCTGGGATCAACTGGTCTCAGTAAAAAGCTTTACAGTTCTGCAGATCCCAGCTGATAGAAAAGACATTACTTACGCCATTTCCTCAAAGACCTTCACTCGCTCACATCCCTCTGGGGGCTCCCGTTTGAACATGTAGCTGTTGTTTGGTTTGGGAGATGAGGCATACTTGGGTAACGGTGAGCTACTCCCACTGTCTGTAAATTTAAAGCAGTTATATTAACTAGTGAGTGAAAGCTCTTTTAAATTAAATTTGATTTCCAAACAAACAGCACAATGTATCCACTACTGCCCCTATGCTTCCACCACAGAGCCTCCTTTATTGCAAATCTATTTCTAACACCCTGGTGGAGTACATTTCTTCTAAATAAAAACTTCAATGCAACAATAATCTATAATACCATAGAACATAAAAGAAGGATATTTTGGTCCATAAAACTGAATTTTGAATAAAGCAAAGCCATAATTCTGAAAACAAAATCTATTATTATTTATTTTCAAAATGCAAATAAATAGGGTAATATGCTTAAGTTATACAGAAGACTCATAACAGATTACAATAATATTGGGCTCTTCACATGCTTTCTCACTGTCCAACTAATTTAATTGAAAGTTTTAGTAAGGGGGATAATTTTCATTACAAAAGTTCTTAGCAGAAATCTTACTTTTACTAAACACCATGGATATAACATGTATGCAGAGGAAAAAACAGGTTATATTACAACACATCTCTTTTCACCTGCCCACCATAAAAAGGTAATTTGCTCAGACTTTGGCCTTTAAAATATCTATATAAAAGGGCTTTTTCAACACAGTTTGTGTTTTTGCTACTGCAAGACCTGAGAAATCCCAAAACATCTCTACTTAACATGCTTTCCTCATATTTTTGACCAAAAAGAAAATGGTCTATTCATGAAAAGCCATAAAACCTATATGCAGTTTCTCCCTTTCCTACCTGGCAAAGGATTTTGGAAACTCAAACCCACCAAAATGTGTCATTATCTTTGTAAGACGCCAAGTTGTAAAGTCAGTAACATACTTGTATAAATACAATGGCCCTATTTAAACAAATTCTGACTTAATGCAAACCAATCCCCACTGCTGTAATACTAAGCACATATCTATTGAGCTATATCATTTTCATCTATTTGAAAGATAACACTAGTACCATAATTATGTTTGTCACAGTTTTGGTAAGTTGCTTTAGTTTAGGATACAAAATACAGTCCAACATTCAGAAACTGAGTAAAAAAAGAATGTTTTTACTGTCGTTAATGAAGTATAATATATGCTTAGAAAGTAGACCCTTGATGCACACTAATACTTTATTTTGTGAATTACTCCAGGAGCATCTATGTTAATCTTGGGAATGTAGATCTGTGCTTATATTTAAATATGGCTATATTTCTGGCTAGGAAATCATCGTCTACAAAATAACCAAGCCACAATATTGGGAAAACTAGAAAACCACAAAGTTTCTTTGTCACTATTGTACGTGTCCCTACATAAAAAGAATAGTCTCTTGAAAGGAATTAAGTTTTAGAATCAAGTTAGGTTTCTTCCTATACCAGTCAGATTTGAGAACTGTCTTAAATTCAAGATTTATCCTATATCTTGCTTAATCAAATGGAAGAGGGGTAAGATGATTTTCTGTCTTAGGTCGATGCAAAGCAATATTATTAGCCTGATTAGAGGTCTGAATCTACTGCTCTCTATTTGAGCTAGCCTAGACAAGACTGGTCTATGACCAAAACCTGGTGCGAATGAGGCCTCAAACTTTGTGTAATACCAAAAATGCAGATTGACCTCCCTTTATTATCCAAACAGCAGCAAGCTGCAAAGGAAATACATGAGACCAAGAATATGAGTAAGTAGATATGGCATGAGATGCTTCCATGGAGATTAATTCTAGGCACAACATAGGCCACATGGAACATGTGGAATCAGTCTAAATTCGTGGGCTCAATGCCTTTACAAGTCTTTTATCCCATCAGCTGGGGTGTGACCATATCGGTAGTTAAGAATCCACCCTATTACCATGTAAGAAAAGCCATCTTGGCCATAGTTACAGTCTTCTGCCTTTGGTTAATATTTCTTATTACATTATCAGGACTACCACATTATTTTTCTCACAATTGTACTGATGGTTTCAACAGTCTTTTCCATGTTTGAACACTAGATATAAAATGAATAATATATCTGCAAAACTGATTATCTTCCCATTAACAATCTAGAATAAATTAAATGATTTTTCTTCTTCAATTTTTTCTAATTTCAGAGGCTTTAAATGTATTTTTTTATAGAGATTTACCCATTTAAACATTCCTTTTCTATTTTGAGAAGGACTGATTAATATTAAACAAGTAAATACATTGCTATCCTAGACAGACAGTATTCAGTGTTTTTATATCTTTCTGCCTTTTCAATAAAAATTATTTGGTTTTCTGTTGAATATATTTTTATATTTAATGTTAGATAGTCTGGAAAAACAAAGCTTGAACAGAAAAAAATTGAACCTATAAACAAATATTTATTAAATCTGGAGTTTTCTCCTTAGGTAAGTATATAACCTGAGACACTACAAAGAACAGGAAATAGAGACATCCAGCCTGTGGCTTTAGCTCTTGTTGTACAGTTGTGTTACTTTGAACACCTAGAACCTACCTTTCTAGGCTTCTACATAATTAAAGGAATTGCCACTCATGAACTCTAAAATTCTGTAATGCTTCTTTAATGGTTCTAATGTACAAAGAAGGAACACTATACTGAAACATTTTTTTGCTTTACAAAGTGACATGCTTTAAAAACAACCCACATGACCAACCTATTCTACTCATTCAAGATTTGAATATGTAATAAATCACTTATTCATTTAAAACTTTGTATTGAATTTAATAACCAATTTTCAATAACAGAACATTATAAATATGAGGTAACCATGCCTGCTCAGGAGATTCAAGAGGAAATGCCTCATGGTAATCTTAATTCAATCCCAATATAAATTTTCTCATTCTGTTATCCCAGAGGAAAATAATATAGGATCAAAACTGGAAATATAGCTGAGATTAAGTTATATGTTACTGTATAATCTTATAACATCATAGCCAATGTACATTAATAAGAAATAAATGTAATGAATATGATTATTTAAATATCTTTCTATATTTACAATAGTCTCACTTATATTTATAATCACCCAACTCTGAAAATCAACAGCATGGAAAAATGTGATTGGCTATTTTATTGTAATAGATCATATTTATGTATATATGCTATATTTACCATTAAAATATAAGTAGCTTGTCAAATATTTTAAACATATGGTAATGAATTAAAGCTTGGAAAAATTAGCTAAGTTGTTAAAGTTTAGAATTTCATATAGAAACAATATTCATTAAATTACATGTACTCATATAGCTTAAGAGTTTCTGAATATCTCCTGATAAATGACCTTCATTATTTTTGGTATATTAAATTGTGTGGCCCACAATTCTAGTATTAAAAAAATCATATATACAGAGATCCCTAAAAAAGATTCTGATTTAATTAGCTGAGAGAAGCCGAGCATTGCTTTTTTTTTTTTTTCCCCTTTGGTAATGCTCCCAACTGCATCTGAAGTGCATCCAAATTTGAGAATCTAACTGAAAAAGTTAAAAACACTGGGTTAGAGTCAGGCTACTTGACTTCTACCTACGCCTGGCTGCATGACCTAGGATGAGTTTGATCCCTTTGTTTTTGACCTGTAAAATGGGACTAACTACTGACATGATAGCTGTGGAAAATGTGATATAAAAGGATTAGGATAGTGCCTTAAATACAGTAAGCTCTCAATAATATTATCATAATAGTAGAAGGAACACATCATTTCTAATTTTCAAATTAAAAATGGTGAACCATTCAAAAATTGAGTGCCTAATTCTACTCTTTCTTAGCAGAATAGAGTTAAAAATTCTATTCAGATACACAAAGATAAAATTCTGCTCCTGGCAGGGAAGCAGAGTAATATTTGAAGTACCAGATTCTCCAGGTTTGTGACTGTCTATCATGAACACTGCCAATTCATGATGGCATCCTTTACTGTATAGAGATCTATTATCCTGAAATTAAAATCAATGCCTAAAGCATGCAGATTCTATAAGACTACTATTCAAATAAAATATTTTTATAGTATATACAGCAATAACCAGTAGAATATAATTCTTATTTTAGCTTTCTCAGATAGATAACTCACTAGGAAAGTGAATACAGTGTTCAATGACAACTAAAATCATAATAAAAGCATAAAAGTTAGCCAAGAGAGTTAGGTTAGAAATATGACTGACTAAATAGGATCTAAACAGAATTACCACTTTAGTGTTAAAACTACTTCTGCTTCAGGAAATGAAATTATCAACTACAGTGTGGTTTGATGGCTTAAAGAAATCAGGAAGAACACACTATTTCATAGCATTTCTTGGCAATAAACTTTAAGAACCAGGTAGCATTACTAATTGTATTAAAAAGCCTGCATTTTCAGTTAACTCTAAGACCAAATAGGGAAGTTACAAGTAAGGAGAACATTTGGCTTTTATAAATAGCCTCAAAGTTTTCTCTAAAATTTCAAAGATAACTCATTATGAGAATGCTACATAATTTTAATAAAAAATATTAGCTACATGTAAGATCTCCTTTAGATCAGTATCCAACAAAGGGTAAGGGCAAAAATGACATTATAACCTTTTACCACTTATACTTTTGAACTTTGCTCCAGATCAGATTGATTTTTTTAATAACTGGGACTCAACATACATTCCAAATGTTAGCTCATTAACTAAATATTTGTTATATCTAGGAGGTGTTTTATTTAATCACTTATCACTCTATAAGTATTAAGAGAATTGATATCAATTTACAAATTAAGCAAATTACAGTTTTTCTTTTGTTTTTGTGTACTCAAAATAAGTACAATGCTTCTTCCACAACATAATCTTGATATGCAGAACGATGTTGATTATTATCTACAAGTTTAACTTACAGTCATTGACATGGTAACTATTTACTCTGAATCTGATACGATAGTTAATAATGAAAGCAAATGACTTTATTGAAGATTCTCCTTCAATCAATCTATAGACTGAAATCATGTTTCTTATAAATCACAATGGTAAAATTAGCTAAACTGAAAATAAATTACAGATTACATGGAATATTTTATGTA